GGTTTTGTTTTGTGTCCTCAGCCGCTGCTCCTTTGCCAGCATCTCACACAATGCTGGCCTGGGAGCAGACGCTCCTGCTTTGTGTGCGGACTGGGCCTTTGCTCTCTCCAGCCTGGGCTTTTGTGTGGCTCAGTGGGAGGCGGGGGCAGAGCAAAGGCCAAGCAGGATGCGTTATTCACTCAGTCCTTTGAGAGAGAGCTTTTTTGCCATTTGCAGCTGAAAGCAAGAGGCACAGAGGTCAGAGTGGCGTCCCCTCTAAAGTGTCATCCCATTCATTCATTCACTCATTTGTTCATTCATACAGTAAATAAACACGGATTGCCTGCCTTTTCGAGTCCTGTCTGCAGCTCCAGGGAGCATTGCGTGATGTGCCCTGGTCAGCGTCTCTGGAGAGGACTGCTGTGACCAGATTGCTGAAAAAACTAACCAGCCAGTAGGGGAGGGTGGGATTCACACACACTGGGCTGTCATGTGTACACTGCCCTGCATGTGCAGTAGTTGATCCTGAAGGGTGTGTGTCTATGAGATGGCGGGTGTTGGGATTGGGGAATACCTGGGCCAACCTTGTTTTGGTCTGCTTAGTGCACGGACTGAGTGATTTATGGCAAATAGAAATGGTTCCCGGTTCTGAGGGCTGGGAAGTTGGAGATTGAGGGGCCTGCATCTGGCGAGGGCTTTCTTGCTGCATCATGCCACAACAGAAGCATAAAGAGGGTGAGAGAGCAAAGAGAAAGAAAGCAGAGTTGTTGTTTCTATCAGGAATCTGTTCCTTCTAGCACTGACCCACGAGTGAGGGCAGAGTCTTCCTGGCCTAATCGCGTCTCATCAGGCCCTGCCTCCCAGCAGTGCTGTGATGCGGATTTAGTTTCTAGCACATGCTTTTTGGAGGACACGGTCAAACCACAGCCGCACCCTACTGGCATTGTAGCCTTTCTAGGCCTTCATTTTCTCTTCTGTGAACTGCAGCTGCAGGTGCCTGCCTCTCAGGGTTTAGGGAAAGGATCCAGGGAAGCAATGCGTGTGAAATGCCCAGCACAGCTCTTGCACAAGTGGGTACTTAACCCCAGGGTGACCACAATATCTGTACTGAAACTAGGGTGCTGTACTGACCAAGTGAGGCTCCAGGTAAGCTGGCTAACCACAACTGGCAGCTGGCTGTGCTCGCAGTGAGGGACCAGGCCTGGAATCTGGCGCGTAGTAGGCATTTAATGGTTTTTGTGTTTGGATTTACTCTGACTCCACCTTTAAAATGTGCTAATTTAGCCGGGCTCGGTGGCCCAGCCTGTAATCCCGTGCCTTGGGAGGCTGAGGTGAGTGGATTGCCTGAGCCTGCGGGTTTGAGACCCGCCTGGGCAGGTGAGACCTCATCTCTACAATAAATCAAAAAAATTAGCTGGGTGTGGTAGCGCGTGCCTGTAGTTCCAGCTACTTGGAAGGCTGAGGCGGAAGGATCGCTGGGAGTGAGCGGCCACTGCCCTCCAGTCTGGGCAACAGAGTGAGACTCCAACTCAAAAAAATAAAAATTAAAAAAAAATAATAAAATGTGCTAATTTATGTCCTATAATTCATTTTAGCTCTGTGATAGACTTTCCCCCAGCCCTGCTTGCCAACAAAGTGTCTCTTCATTTAAAGCCCCAAGATTTGGCTCAAATGTAATTTAAATTCTGTTTAACACAGAGCCAGATACTCTGAGAAGTGTGTTCTTGGGAGAGGAATGCAGTTGGCAAGGGAATCCGCCCCTGTCTGGAACAGCTTCCCTGCCCTGTCAGCTGTAAGCCGAGAGCCTGTGGCCCAGGCCCTCTCCTGGGTCCCCAGGGGGTACTCAGCGAGACAGAAAGGAGTGGCTTCCAGGTGCTGATACCGAGTCCATGAGGAAGACTGTCCTGGGTACTGTTGCAATGTACAGTCCTTGTGATGTTCTCCTCCCTTTAAAGCGCCTTGGTTCAGTGGAGGAACCAAGGGAGGGAGTTGTGGGCCTTCTCAGGTTCGGGTATTCTTGAGTGGAGATCACATTTTATATGTCTAACACATATCTTTGGACAGAGTGAAATGATTATTAGGGGTTACGATGGAATGTTTTCTGCAGAGAAGGTGGGCTAAAAATAGTGTGGTGTGTAGCGTTTGGAGGGAAGAGGAGGAAGGCTGAGAAGGTGCCGTGCTGGCTCACCAAGTGGGTCATCTGGTACCTGGAGTACCCGGTGGGGTGCGGGGAGGTCTCATGACCCTGGGAAGCCCCCAGCTCACTCCCAGGTGGCGACCTAGCCCTTTGCAGGATCTTTAGGTCCTGTAAGTTTAACTCGTCCACAACTGCTTGAGGATTGAACCTTCCAGAAGGTATTCACACCTGCGAGCCTCCAGCATTGAACATGATAATCTCTGTCCTCTAGGAGCCCATGTTCCTGTGGAATGGTTCTCAGATGGATCATTTCTGGAGCAGGCTCAAGTCTCTTTTATCCTGAGAACATTTCCACACTTGTGGTCGGTCCCCCTTGTTTGGTCCCCCCTTGGTGCCTAGGCAGTGATCCCCAGGCTGTCCTCGGGGCAGCATGGGCCACGTGGCTGGTGTCTAGTTTGGCTGTAGGCCCCCAACAGGCTTTCTGGAGGAAGGGTCATCTGCTTAGAGATGCTGAGGGTTGCTAGGGCAAGGGAAGACCAGGCTTCGGATTCAGTGTGAGCAGAGGCCTCCCTGGGGACTAGAGGGCCACCTCGCCAGTTCCCTACCTCTGTCTGCTCCGCTCTGTGGTGTCTGCTGAGCAGCTCAGCATGTGGGGTATGAGGGTGATGAGGATGCCCCCAGCAGGGCCTCTCCCCTTGGCACAGCCCCGTGTCCCTGTGGTGAGCAAGAGTTTGAAGAGTTCGTGTCCCATACACTGCTGGTACTGTACTGATCAAGCCAGACCGACAGGTGGTTGAAGGTGTGCTTTTATTGTCTGTCTTCCCTCTCAACCCCTCCACAGGGCAGATGCTGGGTCTGTTCGAGTCATTGCTGTGCCCCCAGCACGGGGCTCAGTACCCAGCAGGCCCTTGGGCGTGTGTGGCAACAGTGCAAGATGTGTCCTTGTCAGAGCAGGGCTGAGATGCCAGACCTGGGATGGAGCCTGAGCCCGCGGGAAGAAAGGCAGTGGCTTGCTGAGCCGGAGGGCATGGGAAGGCCTGGTTAATCTTGTGAGGGTCGGGTGCAGCTGCCTTGTCCTGGAGAACATTGTCTGCTCCGTAGGGCCTGGACGGGCCTGAGCACAGCAGACCATGTGTCCGATTGGGCGAGTGAGAGTGTAATGGGTGCTTATGTGTGTGCGTATGTGTATATGTGCATGTGTTTGCATAAATGTGCATGTGTGCACAATGGCATGTGCATGTTTGTGCGTCTGGTTACATATGTATGTGGGTGTGTGTGCACGTGTATGGGTGTCTTTCCTGCACACACAGTCCTCCTCTTCTGATGATGCAGATCTCTGCTGACTCTGCTCCCAACATCCTCCCCTTTCCCTGTTGGCCTGTTTGATCAGCAGAGGACCAGATCTCTAGGTCATCTTTGGGCCTCACCTTGGGCAGCTTGCCAGTCTTCCTGGACCTCACCCAGGGGGACCAGTGCCCTTCTGGGACTGCCTCCAGCTAGTGCTGTTTACTGGATGTGGCGTCTCTTGTATGTCCCCACAGCTGGACCAAGAGCCTGGAGCAGTTCTTACATGCTCCCCAAGTCTCAGGGCCTGGCCCAGTCTTGCCTTGGGCTCTCTCTGCTCGTAAGTGTGGGGTCTTTAATAGCCTCTCTGCTCGTAAGTGTGGAGTCTCTAGTAGCCTACACAAAGCCTCAGTGAATTTGTGAGCTAGTTGTGGCTGACTTATAACAAGTGCTTGATGTGCCCTGAGTACCAGTCAGATACTCTGCACATGTTAACTTGCTGTACCCTCTAGCAGCTCTGTGAGGTGACTCTGCTCTCTTACCCTGTGTAAGAACACAGGTCATGTAGCTTGTTGAGACTCACAAAGCCTATATGTGGCAGAGGTCAAATTTGAACCCAGGGTACCAGCTCCCAAGGCCTCGCTCTCCTCTGCCACGGCCCCTGCCTCTGCCCTCCCTTGGCTTGACTTGAACACAGATACAAAAGCTGTTTTCACTGGGAACAGCTGTGGAGTTGTGTAGGGCACTGATGTGGCATGGATTCCTCTGGAAAAGCCGGTGCCATGTAGCTCTACAGCTTAGAGGACTGCACAGAGGCTTCCAGTCTTAGAGTGAGTGTAAAATTCCCCTTTCATCACGCTGACACAGTGCTGATTTGGAAGGAGTATGTCAGGGCCGGGGCTTGGTACTTGGTGACGGGATCACAGCAGGAGTTGAGGGGGTGCGTGGCCCTCAGTGTACTTAATTACTATCAGCCAACCACGCTCCTGTGAGAACAAAACTGGCATGGGGTTCTATGTACAGTTCTTCCCTCATGATACCTACCTTGTACATCTCACAAAAGAATCTTACTCATGCTTCGATTCCTGTGAGTTGTGGAACCACTCCTTGTTCTGTGGAGGAGGATACTGAAATGCCTGGCAGTGCTGTCAGGCTACACGGAGGCCTGGCGTGCAGACCCAGGTGAGAGCTGCTAGGCTGCGTGGCTCCATACCTCGTTTCTATCACTTCCTGCAGCAGCTACACAGGAGAGGCCAGCGGAGCTAGTATCGTTGCAGTTTACAAAGGTTGCCCAAGGCACACCATGTAGATGCCCCTAAGAGAAAATAACAGTAGTAAAACGAAACTGCTTCATGATGTTTCGGAGGTTGCTCTCATGTGTCCCTGGCCTTTTTTGAGACCTGAGCCAGGTTTGTTTTCCAGGCAATTTCTGGAGAAGTGCAGAGACCCCAAATGGCAGCATGTGTGGAGGCGGCAGGCTGTGGTTTAAGCGTGGCTGAGTATTCTTTCCCTAGGACATGTTCCCTCCACAGGCTTTCCCTCCAGAAAGTCTGAAAGGCAGCACTGAGTGAAATGTGGCTCTTCTCACCCCTATTGTGTCCGACAGATGTGTCTGGGAAGCTGAGGATCTGGGATACCACGCAGAAGGAGCACCTCTTGAAGTATGAGTATCAGCCTTTTGCTGGAAAGATCAAAGACATTGCTTGGACTGAAGACAGTAAGAGGATCGCCGTGGTCGGGGAAGGACGGGAGAAGTGAGTCACTCGCCTCGGCCCCTCCCTGCCCTGTTTCTGGGACTCATGCTCCCACCTACCCTGTCCCTGTTGGGAGGGGAGTGCAGTGATGTCTGTGCTGGCTCAGACTAGTGTGGGCTGAGCTCCCAATAGGCGCCAGGCCCCTCTGATCCCTTCAGGGCTGACTGGAGCCACATGTAAGGGAGAACTTCATATCACAGTGGGTTTGTTACAGGGCCCCAGCACGTCTCTTTCTCCTCTGATATCCTGAGCTCCTAGCCTCCCAGAACTGCAGCTGTCATGCCCACCTTATGGGTAGCTGGCAGGGGAGAAGGCGAAAGACACCACTTTGACTGGGGGTTCCTCCCAGCAGCTGCCACACGAAGCTACCAGAGAGGATGAACGGTGTCTCCCAGCCGGGCACATCCTCTAAGGGTGCCTGAGCAAGGAAGGAGGGACGGTGGACGCGGATTGGACAGTACCTGGTGGCTGCTGCCCTTGGGGGTCTAGTGACTGGTAGGGTCAGTGCTGGATCCCACATTTTCTTAATCCAGAAGCAGTTGGGGTTCCCTGCATGGCACCGTGGCTGCCCACAAGCACCTGAGTTTGATAACCACATATCTGCATTCCTCTCACTGACTAAGAGAGAGGCACTTGCTAGTGTGTGTCCTGGTAGGTATTCATTTTTTTCATGGTTTTTCAGGTCTTAATTCCTTTTTTGTTCAGTAGCAAATAGTAACTAAAATAATGTTTTTGTTGAATGCCAGCCAAGAGCAGGACATCTCCGTTCCTGTAGGAGATGGTAACTGGTCCCTCCCAACCGAGCTGTTAGGAGAGTGGCGAAACCATAAAGATGCCCCCAGCAGATGCTTCTGAGCACTTTCTGCGTCGGGGGGCACTGAGCGTGGGGTTGGATAGATGTGTACACACAGTCCCTTTTCAAAGGCACCCCCCCTTTTCAAAGATCACCCCCGCCTGTTCTTGAGTCCTTTGGACATATGCCTTGTGGAACTAGAACCCCAGTGCTTTCCCAGTACTGTCCCTTAGACAGCCTGAACTGCCCTGCTTCAAACTCGGGGCACTGACAGCTTCACTATTGGACTTCTCACTGACTTTGTGGGATTGAGTTTTCTTTTTTTCTTCCACTCTTCTCATTGGGTCAAGGTTTGGAGCTGTCTTCCTGTGGGATAGTGGCTCTTCCGTGGGTGAGATCACAGGACACAACAAAGTCATCAACAGTGTGGACATCAAGCAGAGCAGGCCGTACCGGCTGGCCACGGGGAGCGATGATAACTGCGCTGCGTTTTTTGAGGGACCGCCGTTCAAATTCAAGTTCACAATTGGTGTAAGTGGATTACAGTGGTTTTTGGGTGAACTTTGTGCTTTGTATGTGATTCTAGCCGTGTCTGAGCCTGTCTTAGTCTGTTTTATGTTGTTATCGAGGAATACCTGAGGCTGGGTAATTTATCAAGAAAAGAGATTTACTTGGCTCGTGGTTATGCATAGAGCTGGCATCTCCTTCTGGTAAGGCCTCAGGACACTTTTACTCTCTCTCTCAGAGAAAGAGGGGGATGGTGCCTGGCTCTTTTAAACCACCATCTCTCACATGAACTAATAGTACTGTAAGAGCTTGCTCATTACCACGGGAAGGGCACCGAGCCATTCCATCCCCATGATCCAGACACCTCCTGCTTCAGGCCTCACCTCCAGCACTGAAGATAATGGGATAACCATCCAGACTGTATCAGATGCTGATGGCAGAAAGGCCACAGCACATACCCTGCGTGCTGTGATGCGTAGACGGAAGTGGGCTCACAAGGGGAAGTGTGTGAGGAGGGGCTGCCCTTGTCCTCCCGGGTCCTCAGCTGAGTGTGGATGGTTCCTTCCTGCAGGGAAGACCTTGCCCTGGGATTGTGTGCATCTATCTGGGCAGGCAGCAGTGTCCCTGACAGTGATCAGGAAAGCTTCCTAGGCTGGAGGTGCAGGTTCGAAAGTGGAGCCTGCAGGGCTCATGGCGGTGTCCACAGCTCTTGCTTTGGTTGTGCCAATCTCCTGCTGAGATTGTGCTAAACACCTGCTGAGCCACCGAAGTGGCAGAGGAAATGAGCTTCCAGATTGGTCTCTCGGGGCCCTTCCATGGATGATGAGGGCAACGTGCCTGCAAATGGCATGTGATTCTTCTATACTTACAGTTAGAAGAATTGTATGTCATTTTGGAAGAAACATGCCAAGAAATGCCCCAGTGCAGTGTCACGGGTGTGGGGTGAAAACGGCAGGGTCTCTGAGCTCCGGGCTGCACACATGCCTAGACCTTGCTGAGCCTCACTTCTCACCTGCGAGTTGTGGGGACCATCAGCATTTGAGGGTTTTAACTGTGAGTTTGAGCTGTGAGCTGTCATCCAGCAGGTTTGGAACAGCTGTGATGTCCATTCTCTTGCCTTGGTGCTGCAGGCTTGAGGTCATGTGGCTGTGGGAGTGAGTGCATGGGTGGCAGGAGAGGAGCCTGGCAACCTGTCTCAGCACAGCCTGTGGTCTGGGCCCGCCCTGGCGTTCCCAGCGGCTCTTGAGCATGCACCATGGAAAAAGGCAGCCAGTACTGGTGGATGGATGAGAAGAAGATGGCAGTTCCTCTTACCACCAAGAAACTCATGCTTCAGGGGCTGCTGATGGAGGAAGGAAATTGGGTTTCAGGATAGGACTAAGGTCTCAGGACTCACCCTCTTCTTGGAATGTCAGTGGTTCCAGTGCCTGTGCCTCATAGGGGATTAATGACATGTCCTGAAAGTGGCTCGCTGAGGAGTGTGTTCACTGAGAGACTTCACGCAATGAGTCATAGACAGCAGGCAGAGTGCTACTGGAAAGGGTGTGGGTGGGACTCCAAGTGGGCAGAAGTTCCAGGCTTGACTTGGGGTCTGGGGGCCCTCCAGGGATGTCCCGCTTATAGCAAGATGGGCTTCGTTGCGTCCCTGAAACCTGAGCTTGAGCAGGGCCTGGCTGACTGGCTGGCTGGCCATGTGGGCAGTGCAAGGAGGCGTCCTGCGTCCAGCACTCTGTGGTGCTTGGCTCCTGCGGCTGCTGCCTGATGGGCGGGCAATGGAAACCTGGCTATCTTGGGAGCTTTGCTGGAGGCTGTAGCTCAAGGTCGGTGTTTCTCAAGTGGAGGATGGAGGGACCGTGGAATAGGGTGAGCGATGCTGGATCAGCGAAACACCCCAATCTGAATCCAGCCGGGGAGGGAGGGAAGGAGGCAGAGGCTTCTGTTGCAGCCAGGGGCCATCTTGGCTTCTTTCCAGGGCCTCTTTCCCTGCTCTCCAGGACCCCACATCCTGCTTGGTCTCATTTGGCCTTCATCTGGGCCCTTTGTGGGTGTGGGCTCCTTTCCCTGCTCTGGGAGGAATCGTGTCTACTTTGCAGATGTGGTTCAATCCGGCCAGGCTACCCAGTGGCATAAACAGAGCCACACAGGGTTTGTGCCAGACTCTGGGTTCGAGCCTGCACGCTCTGTCATTCTGTGTTCCTCCCATGTGCTCACACCAGGGCTGGGCTGGTACCTTCTTTTCACTTCTTTCTAGCCTCAGAGTGGTCTTCACCCCACAACCCTAGCCCAGGAATGTCAGGGAGACGCATCTGCCCTGCATCTTGGCTCTAGGGTGAGCACCACCTGTGTCCTGCAGTCCCTTCTGGGAAGCCCATACCTTCAGATCTTGTCTGAAACCTGGGAACGATGGAAAAGGCTGTGTGAGGCCTGGTGCCAAGCTGTCTCTGCAGCTCTCAGGACAGTCGTGCCTCCAGGCCCCCTAGGAAACAGGATGGTGACAACCCCCCTTTACTGTGCCCCACAGCTGTGGGAAGATATGAAAGGTGCTGGTGACCATTCATGCATTCATGAGGACATGTGTGGGCGTCCATGTGGAAAGAATCTTACCGGCGCAGCTGACCAAGCATAGGAAGGACAGGGGAGGCACTTGGGGACCCCATACTTACGGTGTTGACGGCCTTACTGTGTACTGTGTATCTGCCCTCAGCTCTCAGGATCCTGGAGTGAGGCTGTGTTTGTGCAGGACTGGGTGCTGGGCTGCCTGTCTGGCCACCCAGGGTCTGTCTTCTGCCACCTTCCCAACCACATTTGAGTCCTTGGGACAATGGGTGGCTAGCCATAAGATCATGGGAGACCTTGTCTCCCAGGACTAATGAGAGTACGAACTGGTGGGGACATGAAGAGAAGGTCAGGCAGGGACCTGTGTTGAGGACGTAGTAGGCTGTGTCTCTGTGCACATGTGAGCTCTTCTGATTTAGTCAAAAGTCTGTGGTGTGGAGTTTCTAAGGAATGGAGCCTTCTATAGTAAAGGGTTTTAAAATTAAAATGTGTGGGATTTTTTTCAAGGGAAATTAAGTTCCTCACTGTGAAATCCAAACAGTAATGGTCTTTTCTCCCCGGATCTTTCATTGCCAACTCCATGACTGCTGGTGTCCAGGCTGCCTCCACCTCCATCCCAGCTCCCAGGCCACAGTGGCCTGTACTGCTGAAGCTTCTCCTGAGAGTGGGCAGCCTGTGGTGGCTGCTCCAGCCTGTCGCCATCAGTGTCCACCCCCTCCCTGGGGAGGCCCATGTGGCCAGGATCTGGGATCAGTCCTGAGCCCGAGGTGTGGCAGTGGGGTGGGGTGGT